AGAAACTCCTTTCCTGCCTACTATTTCTCCCTTTCTCGGGTCCTCCATTGTATACAACTCAAATAGGGTTGAGGAAAAAGAAGGAGAAAATTGGGAGCTAAATGGCTCCCTTAGTGTGAATGACTTAATTTTCTAGGTTGTAGCCTGATTTCCAAGCCAACACAAGCAGTCTCCTTCCCTGTGGTATCTCTGTGGGACTGATAAAAAGTCAAGAGATAGGAAAAGAGATCAAAGTGCGAAGTAATGGCGAGTACTATAATCAGCAAACCTTTAAGTGCCCCAATTCTGCTTTGACAACTGCTGTTCCTCATGAGGTCTGAAGGCCAATACACACAGAAAAAATAAATATCCATTCTTATTAGCTAGACTTGTGCAAACAGGATCTGTCTTTAGCCAGGGCTGAAGCACAAGGAATGGGGTGAGACCAAAGGACATCTGTCTCTTGTCCAAGCCGAAACCCAAATCTTATCATCATTCAGACTCAAGGAAGGGCAGTACAGGGCAGAGATAAGAGTTTCAGAATGTGCTCAAGAGACCAGCAGAGAGAAGCATATGACCAAAGGTCCTCTGGGCACAGTGCCCACTAGGTGAGCTGTTCATTTGCTTTTGAAGGTGACCTTGTAATGTAATGATCCTGCCATCTAGTAACGCAGCTCAGTGAGCACCCTGCAAGCTGGTTGAACAGTTCAGTGAGCCCTCCTCTTGGGAAGGAGGGCACGATGTGGAGAAAGGAGAAGAGAAGAGAGGCAAGGCCTACATCTTCCTGGAGGGGTGCATCTCCTTAGATGCCTGCAGCTCAAGAAGGTTCCATTTCATTTCAGCAAACAAGGTTTTTTTTTTGTTTTTTTTGTGTCTTGGGTTTTTGTTTTTGTTTTTTTGGGGGTTTTTTGTCCAATATGGTCTCTGGGTTGATGAGGCAGTCCTCAGAGGATGGGGGAAATTATACAGAGTAGTAACATTCTGGGTGGGTGCCTCAAAATTGTGGGTTGTAAAAATAGCACAGTCATTTCTTCTCTGTAATTCACCTTCTCATGTTTATGTTGCGTAAACGGTGGGTCCTGAACTGGCAGTTCATCCTCAACTTCAAGGCTCATGGTTTTGGAGGCCATTTGACTTTATCCCACTGCCCCTCACTTCCAGGAATGTCTCCACAAGTGGAGAGCAAACACCATGCTTCTTTTCCATTCTTCCACTTGCATAGTATCCTTTAAATAGAAGGTGCAGGAGGAGCTCTTAGAGCCCAACTGGGACAAAATTCCCATTTTACAGATAAGAAAGTTGAGGCCCAGGAATACCAAATGGCTTCTTGACCAATTCCACATGTCTGTCTCTGAGCTCAGGACTCTCTCCATTCTATCACACAGCCCAACCGCAGGTAAGGTTCTCCTAACAACAGCTATGCCCCAACACTTACAAATTATGTGTATATGTGTGAATAAATACAAAAAATGTAATATATACTTTATTAGAGCAGTGTGCTACCTTCATGATACATGGTTGAGTCAAAAAAAACAAGTGTGGAACAATATACGTTTGTACAGTATAATCTCATTTCTGCACCTCCCCTCCCGACAAAAACAGCAGCCTTTGCGTGTGTTTCTGTGAGGCTGTCTATGAGTATCTATGTGCACATTCTCACGTGCACAGAAAAGGTCCCGGGTATACCCACCAAGCTGTTAACAGTGGATTCTTCTTGTGGGTGGGAGACTTTCATTCTTTTACTTATTATACTTTGGTATTGCTACATGCTTTACAGTGAGCATGTATTGCTTTTGCAATTAAAAAAACAAAAAGCAAAAAACACGAGCAAGAAATAACAGTAGCTGCCATTTACTGGTATAGAACCCAAGCCAGGTACTGTGTGGGTCCTTTACACACACCCTCTCATTTCATCTTCTTGTGTCTCTACAGAGTGCAACTATCATTATACTCCAGATAGGGAAACTGAGGCTTAAAGAGGACATCCAGCTGGAAAGTGGGAGTGCTGGGATCTGAACCCAGGACTATCTGACCGGAAAGCCGTATGCAAATTATCCCCACAATGCATGTGCACTCAGGAGAGTCTGTCTCCCCGGGGAATGCCATCTGTTTATCCTGAGTTGCTTCACAGCAGAAAAAGGCTGCAGCTGCCGCGCTATTGAATAAGGCACCTGGGGTATCTGCTGCCTGAGCTGATGGCCCCCCTCTTCTAGCCGACCCCCCACACTCTTCCATCTTCCCCATTCCTGGCAATCTCTCCATGTGTGAATTCCATTAAAGGTCTGCTCACTGCTATTTTGGACCATGCATTAGCACGTGGGCTTTGATTTGATGGGAGAAGGCCAGACACCTCCGGATGATGAAAAAGAAATTAGAAATGTCCTCTCTCTATCTCCCCTCAGAGTTTCAGAAGCTCTTGCCCACAGCTCCTTGGGGGCCTGACAATCCCGTGTATGGAGAAATGCACGGGGTTTACGGAGGGGAGCGGAAACCCTCCTCATCTATTAGGGCCTTTGAACTCGCTGTTCCATCTCCTTGGAGTTGCCATTGGCCAGCCTTCCCCAAGGCTCATTATTCTCACTTTCAGGCCTTGACTCAAATACCAATTTGCCACCAATGCCTTCTCTGATCACCATCCTTAAACAGCACTTCCCTCCCCATCCCTGCTCTTCTAGCCCTTATGTTCCTCTGTTTCCATAGCACTTGTCACCAGACATACTACACAGTCATTCATTTATTTCTTTGCTGTTCCCGCCAGCAGAATAAAAGCTCCATGAGGGCAGAGCTGTTCCATACACAGCAACATCCCCAGTACCGACACTGGTGCCCGGAATGCACAGGAGATGAAAAAAATCAGTGACTCCACCGAGGAACTTAGAAACCAGAGCCTGAGGAGTCACTTAGCACATGGCCCAGTTTCCCCTCAAAAATCATAGGATTATAACAACCTTAACAGAGGGATTTAAGAAATCAGAAAAGCATCATCCCCACCCCCTCGCTGCTTTGCATCCGGCCTCGAACACACCATGAATGAGAAGGGTTTGGGAAATAAACACACTAGGAAGTCGTGTGCAGTTGGAGTTCCGCTTGCTAACACATGTGCAAAAACAAAAAGCCCAATTTAGACGAAAATAGCAGGAAGCTGTCCCCTAGGGATACCTGATGAGGTCATTGTGCTTGACCATGCTGTTTCCATTTTGTCAAGTCTGCCTCCTGCCAATTCAAGGAGGCAAGGAATCACATCCAGCCCCCTGCCGCTCACTCAGAAGCCAGAGAGCAGCTCAGAGCAGCACACAATAGAACTACTTCCATGGGCTCTCCTTGAGTCCAGACCCAAGCCAAGGACACAAATGATCCTCATCTCCCCTCTCTCACTGACCTGCTCTGTGGCCTTAGACAAATGCCTTTCCCTCTGAGTTGAAGTTTCTGTATCCACGCATAAGACTGTTGTTTTTTAAAGTGTTTTCCCGCTGTAACTTCCAACGATCTTTTCTTGTAAAGGCTCCAAAATAGGAGGGAGGGATGAATGCTGGGATCCTTACTCGGCCAGCCCAGCTCCTAACTATTTGCGCATGACAGTAACCCTACCACGTGGGCTGCACAGAGGAAGCTGAAGGGTCAAATATTCCACTTGGGGGCAGAATAGGGTGGATCAGATTAAGTGACAACAGGGAACATTTAGACTAGAGCTAGAGGGCAGGGGCCATGAGAAACTGAAGCTGACCCCTGAGAGAGACTATCAAGAACAGACCCTCTAAAGGCCTTTTCCTGCAGAACAAAAGGATGGCTATGCAAGGAGAAATCCCAGGCACGCAGGGCCTGCACCCTCTGGGGACAGGGTCAGCCAGGTCTGTCCCAGGGAAATGAGACAGAAAGAACACATGTGTGGGCTGGTTTGACTCACAAAAAGAAAAGTAGCAAAAATGAATGAGATGCCCATCTTTCTGGAGGCAGAAGGAAGATGTGGATGAGGCCCTATTACTGCGCAAGCTGAAGTCACACTCCTACCACACTTCTGACTCCACTCACGCTCCTCTGGCTCGACTCACCCTCCTTCAGCTCCACTCATCCTCCCTTGCAAGGGTCCAAAAGCCCAAATCGGGAATAATTTATACTCTCGCGTTCCACCCAAGCTCATCAGCCATTCCCATCCTTCTGGATGTGGGAAGGCCCCCAGCCATCCCTTTCTTGGCAGTAATATGTCTGATTACTCATCTGCTTCCAGGGAGGCTGCCAAGAGGAGATGGGCAGTTGTCCGAGCCCCGCAGCCTTATCTGCAAGGTCTGTGCGGCAGAAGCAAAGTGGGGAAATACCAAAGGCCTTCAGGATCTCCCAGTCAAGGAAGGAGAGCTACCCAGTGGCCAAGCAGATTGGAAATGACCAAGAACAGACAACAGACACAGCTATGCATTGTCTATTCACCTGCTCAATAACAGGAATCAAGATATAACTGTGCATGATCGCAAATCAGTGTGGAAATACTTCTGACTCAGGTCGCCACCCAAGACGAATGAGGTTAGAAAGACGGAAGCAGCAGCCCGATGAAGCCAGGAGATTGCTGACCGTGCCCTTATTGGCAGAATCTCAGATTTAACTGAATAAAACAGATAGAGCAGGCAGTGTTGGAGGTGCAAATCCCAGGACACTCCGCCTTGCCTTGCTCCTCTCTGCTGTTTTCCTCTAATCTCCTTTGCTTCCTGCCATGCCCAGCACTGCAGCTAGGAAGACAGCTGCTGGAGTCCACCCGCCCATCCCTCCCTTGCGTGCACACACGCACACGCACATGAACTCTAAGAAACCCTGGAAATACAGCCTGTTAAACAGTCCAGCAATTTCACAGTAAGTCCAGAGGCTGTGATAATGCTGTCTTTGCATGAGGCTCCCCACAAAGAAACCAAAGATTGAGAGAAAGCCTGGGTCGCTTCACTATCTGCTTCCTTACAAAACAGTGGCACCTATGACGGTGTTGACATTGAAGCGAACTGTTTCATTTTAGACAAAGGGGGAGGCAGTCCACTTACTCATTCTTCTCCAGGTCCAGGATCAGCTCTCGCCCCTCGGCCATGACCCTGAGCTCAGCTTTGCGTGGATGCTAAAAGCAATAACAAAAGAATGTCAGCTTCTAAATGCAGGATGGACGCTCCCAGAAACAGACACAGGATCTAGCACAGTGCTCTGACATTGATCCACAGGAAGTGAAAGAGAAAGGGTCAATTGCATTTCCAGCCCAAACATAAAATAGCTTCAATCCCAGAAGGACCAACTCCCCTCCCCCATCTGCCTTCTCCTAAAAGACAAAGGAAAGAAACTCCAAGCTGCAATGTGCTGTAAGTGCTTGCATGCGGGTCTGGTAAAGTCAAATGTCGGAAAACACAATCTTCAACAGCAAATTTTGTGTGGAAACAGATCTGGATTCAAGTGCTGACTCCCTGACACTGAGGTGACGTGAACTTGGGCATGTTACTGAACCTCCTTATGGCTCAGTTTCCTCATTTATAAAACAGAGATAATATGGGGCTCTTGTTAGGATTAAGTGACATAGTGAACACAAAGAATTTATCTGGCATATAGGAAACGCCGATACACGGTGGCTATTATCTAAAATACCAGGGAAAGACTTTCATAGTGGGTTTTTATTTTATATTGTTTTGTTTTGGCTCTCAATTTAGATATGCCCAATCTTCTCAGAGGAGACAATTAGGAGCACTTCCAGCTAAGGTTTTATAAGTCCAAGGAAAGCTACATTTTACATACAAGAGAAAATTTGCTGATGCCCAAAGTTGCTATACATCCAGCAGAGATCATTTAAGATATCATACAAATGTCCAGTAAGCAAGAAAAACATGCTCAACATCACTACTAACCGTCCCCTCCATTTTTTTTTCAAAAATACCTTTTAAAAAAAACCCCACACATCACAGTGCAAAAGAGCACACTGTAAAAGGGGCCTCTCATACCTTGCCAGGGAGAATTTAAACCGATAACACCTACTCACTGGAAGATAATTTGACAGTATGGAGTAGGAGTTTTTAAGTGTCTGAAAAGAGTTTTTATGTCTGAAAGGAACAAAAGGAAGAATGGGCGAACGTTTATTATACACAAGGATGTTCATTACTTATAATCCTAAATAAGGAAATAGAACCTAAATGTCCAAAATAGGAGAATGGTTAAATAAATAATGATTCATTCATGTGACAAAGCACTATAGATAGTCATTAAAAACAAAGACTTTAAATAATTTCTAAATTATCAAGAAAACATAAATGATCATTATGAAGCACAAGAACTCAAAATATAACACAGTATGTTTTATTTAAATATACTTTTGTAAAAGGAAAAAACAGAGAGAAAAAGAAACCTAAACCAACAAGTTGCCATAGTTATCTCTAAGGCAGTGGGATCACTGGTTAATTTTATTTTCTTTTGTGCAACTTTCCATGTTTTTATACTTGCTTAAGAAATAGGCTTTTTATCTGTTTTTACCTCCTTATTGTGGAAAATTTCAAAGAAATTAAAAATCAAAGTCAAAGTAAACCTCCATGCTTCAACAATCAACTTAGAGCAGTTAAACTATTTTAGAAGGCAGAAATTATTGATTTACATATTTAAGCCTGTTTAAAACAGCATCTGTTCTCTGGGGTACTTTAAATATGTGCTAACTTGATAGCGAAGAACTGATAAACTCTTGAAGTCTCATTCGATCCACAAAAGCTCTTGGTAGAGTTTCTTCCCCTGTTAAATGGATCCGAAAGCTTAGTTCTGGTGTCTGAGAGACCAGGTCCTCTGCTCTGTCACCCACCTCCAGTTGTGGGCCTGTGTCTTCCAAGCACATTTCTTCCTCTTATTTTCCTCAAACCCCACTTCCCTTAGAGTCCTGCACAACCTGTGTGTTTTCAGGGCTTCTGGTACAGGATGCTTGAGCAACCATGTTTGTCTTGCTACTTTTTTTGCTAACATCTCATTGACTCTCAAGAACATTTCAAAACCATGGGGAGAGGAAGTAGGTGAATGTTTGCCCAATAACTTTCACTAAGGGAGTCACTTCTGTTTCTGATGCCCCACTTCAGCTCTGCCAACATGCATCCTGGTTGCTGGCCCTTTGCCACTTTACTCTGGGTAGTTTGGGAACAAGGGCCCTGCGCAACCGCATTAGGCTTCAGGGACACAGTCCCAAGTGGTCATTTGGGAAAAGGCACATGGCAACTGAGCGGCAGCAATTCTCTTCTCCAAGAGAGAGGTGGCCACGGGACGACCCACACAAAAAAGAAAAGTTGACCCTAATCAAAGCACCCACCTCTCTCCCAAAGAGACACACACTGTAACATGAGAACAAATTCAGACAATGCTACTTTTTAAATATGGTGGTCCTTGTGTCCCGGGCACGTTTCATCCAAAGCAGTGAAACAGCATCACAAGGATCTGCGCAGCTCCCCGCCCAGCTTCCCTCCGCTTTTGCCTTGCACCTCCACTCTGTGCCAGGAACGGGAGATTTCACCTCTCCTCGGCAGCTGGGCCACTCTTACTGTATTTACCCCAGAGAGGGGTTCAAAGTCCTTTCACTTTAGGGCTGCATTAAACAGATCCTCAGCTCCACACTGTCCCTGACATCTGTCCTATGTATTGCATCCCTGTTAAGATCTAGTACTGTATTTACAATACAGTGAGTGTTCCATTGACGTTTGATGAATAAATTATGTAAATGAGAATAAGCAGCCTAAGGGGGACCTACCTTTTTCTGTCTCTCTCTCTGACATTCCTTCATTTGTTCATTCCACAAATACTTATGGTGCCAGGCACTGTGATGACTATTCGTACAAAACGCAATGATTCTGGGCAGACAATGGCTGGGAACAAAAACAGGATCTGGGGCTCCACTTTGTTTCTCAAACCCTTCCTGAGGATGCCCAGCATCCCACATCTGGACGGAACAGAGAGGCCTCTACAAAGGGTATCAGAGACATTCCCTGGCAATAATGGATAGGCTCGGCTATCTAAGATCTTAATTTTTAAAAATAACCTGCTCGAGGATGGCCATCCATTTATTTGTCTAGACTTTTCCTGAAGCTATTTTCAGCCTTTCTTACTTTTTGATGAAATGAATTCATTGCATTTATTGTCTTTAGGATAAAATGTTACTTGCTTTCATTTGTCCTAAAATTTTTGCTGTAAATTCTCTTAGTAAATCCAAATTGGAGCATTGTTTGGACATGTCTGTATTACTTGAACCATTACTTTAAGGATTTCTAGGCATTTTCCCTCTCTATTTACCTTTCTAGACTCAAAAGCCACAAAGTCTGAGATCCTTCCTGACAAAGCTTTCTCCTCTCTCTCCTGCTGTAATTTTGCTCTCATGTGTTGCCCAGTAAATCACTGACTCTGTGAAACCAGAGTTCTTATTCACTACCCCCTCTCCCCAGCCCTCATCCTTCTCATTCCCTCTAAGTCCTACTTCATAAATGAGGAAATTGAAGTTCAGAGGGTGGAAGGTCAACCATTGCATCTTCCTTTCTAGCTCTCCCATGTGAAAACCAGAGCCACAAAGAATATTCGAGATGGACAGGCGCTATCTGCATGAACACAGTAGTGTTTTCCATCTTTTTCCCAAGTTCCTTGATAAAGCCTGTGCATTTTGCTGGTGCTGTGGCCCAAGATGCCCATTGCATTTTAAGATATATATTCCCCAGTGCCAGGGCCCTCTTTGGCCTCTTATTTAAAAAAGTAGTTTGGATTAGAATTTTCCCTCCAAGTACATTACCTCACCAATAAAATAAAGCATGTGTTATGCAGAGAAAAAATAACAATGACAATATTTAATCAATTCCAATTGAAAGATGGTGATTTTTGTGACACATATTTGCACTTCTTTTGTGTCAGCATTAATGTGGATTTTCATTTCCTCAAGTAATAGCATTTGAACGTGTTCTAGAAGTTTGTCACAGGATGAAGGAAAGGTCCATCTGGGATTTGAAAAAAGACAGGCAGGATAGCATGGGTCAGACGGAACTAACGGTGACAACAATAGAGTAGGTGGCCCAAGCCTCACAGAATGAAGTTGCCAACTCTTCCCTCTGAAAATGAAAGCTTTTGGTCTTACCTTTTCTCCCATGCGGCTTTCTTCAGTCTTCCACTGAGGTATGGTTAGTTCATGCTGTAGCTGGGGGCTGCCTTCCTCACTTCCTCCTGTCAAGACAAGATGCGCGGCCATTGGAACCCCAGACCTCTGCACCCCAGCTAAGCCGGGCAGGCACTGCCAACTGGGAAGAACCCCATCTTGGGTTGTTAGAAGACCTGGTGGATTCCAGGCTCTTGGCACTTTTGGGTCAGGTGCTCTGCTAGGTGTTGGCAATACAGTGCCAAAAGGGCAGCCAGGTCTCTGCACTCCTCACAGTTTATCTTCCAGAGCTGGGAGATAGACAACACACAAACGTTCTCAAATGGTACAATAAGGTCATGGAATAAAGAGACAATGAAGAAGCATTCCCTATTTTAGACAGGATGGTCAGCAAAGAACGGCATTTAATTGAGGGACCAGAAGAAGTCAGTCAGGCAAAGATCTGGAAGTGAGTGTCCCAGATAGAGGAACCAGCAGGCGCGATGGCCCTGCGTGAGAAGAAGCAGACTTGGCTTGTTTACAGAAGCAGAAGGTAAAGGTAGCTTAAGTTAGTGAATGAGGAAGAAGTTGGTAAGAGACATGGTCAACAAGACAGCCATGGGCCTGATATCACAGAGGCTTCGGAAAGTGTCTGGATTTTATTATAAATAGACTTGGAAGGCACTGGAGGGTTTAAACATGGAGCAATATGATCTGTATTCAGTTTTTAAAAGATTGTTCAGCCTGCTGGGTGGTGATGGTGGGGGGAGAGGGTGGCAGGAGTGAGAATAGAAGCAGAAGGAAAAGCTGGAGACTTGCAGGAGCCCAGCCTGGTGAGAGATGATGGTGCCTCAGACTAAAATGACCTCAGTGGAGAGGAATGAAGTGGTTGGATTCTGGGCATATTCTGGAGGTCAAACCCATGGGTATTATTTCAATTGAGCTTCAGTCTTCTCATTTGTAAGATGAAAATGGTACCTGCCTACCCGTCTCACAGCATTACTGGGGAGAGTCACTGTGAAATTGTTTCTCAATCCACTGAGCATCCTAGCATGGACCTGAGCTTCTTCATGGGAAATTTGCCTTTGGCTAACGCTTCCTCCTTTCCAAATCAATCTCACCACCCAGTTCTCCTTCATCTTTACGACAACCGTGGGACGTAATTCGCAGGATTCCTTTTATTAAGAAAGGTGAATTGAAACTTGTATGAAGAAAGACTTGTTCGAGGTGGTGGCAAACTCAAATACAGGTTGCAGACAACCTTTTTTGTTTTTTAAGATTTATTTTTTTTTAAGAGAGAGAGAGAGAAACATCGATGTGAGAGAGAAACATTGATCCGTTGCTCCTTGTACACCCTCAGCCTGGGCCCATGAGGTACTGACTAGGCATGTGCCCCGGAAGGCAACCTTTTGGTTTGTGAGATGATGCCCAACCCACTGAGCCACACCAGTCAGGGCCAGACAATCTTAAACAAGTGGTCATTTTCCAAGACCTAGTCTCTGTGAGAATAGGCCAAATCCACAGGACTCCTGGGGATGAGGGTGAGGACTCCAAATCTGTTCAGTCTAAACCAACCACATCAGTCCCATAGAATGTAATGAGTGACAGAGGACAGAGTTGTTTTGTTAGCGTGGTACGGTTATGAGAGATTGACTTTCCTTTCAGATTAGCAATATAGTGCATTCTCAATCCAAAGATATCCTAAAAATAATCTCATTACACGTGCATTAGTTTTATCATACTGATAAAAAAAATCAGAAGTAACGCATTCATTTATTCATTTCATGTTTTCTGAGTACTTAACTGTGTGTCAGGCACTATGCTAGGTGCTTAATATTCACAGGGCACCAGAGAAGCACAGTTCCTGCTCCAGTGGCTCTGCTTGTCTAGATTCTTTGCAAAAAAAAAAAAAAAAATTATATGATATTTAATGAAATATTTCAAAATGAAATGATCTTTATGATGTAAAACATACTGAAAGCAATCTAAAGGCTCCATAATGGAGGACCACAGTACATTTTAAGAAAAATTGTTCAAAATTTGGAAATAAGGCAAAGAGAAAGCAGGACGTCCTTTCAATGCCACCTTGTAGCATTGTTTAACAGGCCTTCCATACATCACTGAATTACCTAAGGGAACGTAGCTTTGTCTGACTTTTTAAATTTACTATTAATTAAAAGACTATACTCAGTTATGTGTCAACTGTAGATTTCTGACTGGTAGAGATGAAAGTGACTTTGGTATAGTAGAAAGGTAGCTAAGAATTCTGGTTGTTTGGCCCCATGGGGTACTGACCGCTTTTGCATCTGTCCCAGCACAAGATCTCAACATTCTTCCTCCAATGCCTGCACCCTGCCTGTTCCTCTAAGGCTCTGAACCAGCGTTACCACTCCATTCAATGCTTCATTAGTGAACCGAACAAGTCTTTGCCATCCATTCATCCAATGTATGGATGAGAATCATGTTTTCAACTTTTTGAACATTGTACTTCTGCAATTTCTTGATGGAATTTATAGTCATTAAAATCGTGTTTTCTGAGAATTTGATGATGTGGGAAATGCTCATTATGTGAAGTAGAAAATGCAAGACACAAAACTAGACATACGGTATGGTTCCAATTTTATCAGTATACATTTATAGGAACACACATGCAAAGAATGGAGAAAAGAGGAGAGACTGGAAAAGCAGCGGAAAGAGAAGCCAAAAGCAGAAAGAAAAGGAAAAAAAAAAACAGAGGAAAGAGAGGGAGAGAAGCCAGGGAGGGGACTGGCTGTTTTCTTCTCACTCAGAACCTCCACCACCTCCCAGGGCGTGCAATGTAGGAACAAAGCCGGGCTCCTGAGCTGAGGGACCTCAGGGACGCAGCCTCCCGGAGTTGCAGGGGGCAGCTCCCAGGTCCCCGGGCCACCTAGCCCACCCGCCTCCATCCCTACCCCAGCCCTCCCTTGCTCGGCCACTTACTTCTGGTCCACACCGGCAGGGCGAGCGCCAGCAGGCACAGCCCGGCGGCGCACACAGCCCTGGGCATGGTGGCAGCGGCCCCTCGCGCACTCCGCTCTCACAAGCACCGGGCCATGCCAGCACCCCAGCCAGCCGGCGACGCCACTGATTGCCCCCTGCCTCCCAGCCCGACTCCCGGCCATCGGGAAATGCTCCGCCCTCAGCTCGGCCCCCGCCAATCAGTGAGGGAGGGGGTCAAGCCCGCCCGCCAGGGGTAGGAGGGACCGCCGGGGGCTGGGGCGGAGCCGGCGGGCCCCCTTGGGAGTCCAGCCGGCTCAGGCGACCCAGAGCAACGGAGATAGAGTCCGAGCCCCAAGGATTCACTGAAGGTGGGCGCGGCCTGGGGAGAGTCCTGGGCTTGGGCGTGCGGGAGTTAAACAAGACCCCTCTCTGCACAGAGGCCCGTTTCCTCTGTCCCGCACTGTGCCAGACGCCTTGGGTGACACTGGAGAGGCTACTCAGCGGCACCAGTCCCCAGAGGCTGCCACGCTTGTAGGGAGGCCTCGAAGGAGTTAATGGAACCACCAGACACAAAGAACTACGTGCTATGTAGAGTTGTTTTCTTCGCAGAACACAAATCAAGGAGCCTTTCCTTCTGACTGGGAGAAGTGGGGCGGGGGGGGGGGGGGGGGGCGGCGCGGGGAGGGGCGCGGGTGCTGTGGAGAAGAGAGGACTCTCAAAGAAGACATCAGAGCTAGGGAGGGGGAGGATTGGAGCCCAGGCAGAGAAAATGGCCTAGAGAAACGTACTACGGCAGGAAAGCCTATGATCTCAACTGGGAGAAAACCGGAATTTGGGGTGGTTAGGATTTAAGGCTTTGGAGGGCTTACTAACTGCTGAAGTAACAACGATAACAGACTGACATAGCACTTACTAAGTTCCAGACACTGTCTTCAGCACTTTACATCCATTAACTTAATTAATTAATCTCGGAAAAGAACCATATTTTATTGTCCTTTGATATGTGCCAGGAACTCTGCATTCATCTATCTCTTTTAATTAGCCCCATAATCTCCTAGGGCAGGTACTAATAATATCCTGTTTTACAGATGAGAAAACCAGACTTGAGAGGCTAATTTGCCCAAGGTCAATTACCTCTCTAAAGGTTCCGTCTCTAAATACAGTCATACTGGGGGTAAAGGCTTCAACATATGAATTTTGGGAGGTACAGTTCGGTCCATAATATTCCATCCCATCCTCTGGCCCGCAAAATGCATGTCCTTCTTGCATGCAAAGTACATTTGCCACATCCCAATAGCCCCCAAAGTCATAACCCATTCCAGCATCAACTCCAAGTCCAATGTCTCACCTAAATATCTCCCCTATTCAGATGTGGGTGAGACTCTATGGGTGGTTCATCCTGAGGCAAAATTCCTCTCCATCTGTGAACTGGTCAAAACCAGACAACTTACTTGCCTCTGAAATGGAGATTATAGGACAGATACTCCCACTCCAAAAGGAAGAAATCAGAAAGGAAGGGGTGACAGGTTCAGAGCAAGTCCCCAAACCTAGCAAGGCAAATTCCACAGAATATTAAAGTTCTAGAATAGTCCTCAGGCTGCCTGCTCTGCCTTCCACTGGGGCAGTCGCGTCATCCCCACGTCCCTAGGCAGTGGACCTGCCCGCCTCCCCCTCCCCGCCCCCGCCCCTCGCGCCCCGGCTCTGCAGCAGCGCCACCCTATAGTTTTTTGCAGCAGCCCTGCCCCCTTGAGGCCCTAGGCAGGGGCAGCCTGACTCCCAGAAACCTGGAGGGGCACCCACTCTCTGAACCAAGAAAGAAAGCAGCTCTCCTTCTACGCAGATAGTGGGAATGGCAGCCCTGATGATCTCTGAGTCACTTTCAGAGTCATTCTTCCATTTCCTTGAAGGACAAAACATACTCAGCAGGTCTAGTGTTCTAACCTGTAGAATCCCGGAAGTCTAGAAGGCTTTCTTTATTTTTGTCCTGACTGTTCCTTTTGGTCCAAACTGGCAGTGTCTCTGTCCAGTTTGGTATACCCGTATTTTGCTGTGTATAATCTTCATATTCTCCCCCAAAATTTTTGAGGGAAAAATAAGGATGCACATTATACATGGGTAGTACTGATTCTGTACCTATATAAATGCTTTAAATTTTTTATTTTTTCTTATGCATTAAAAATTTAACTCTAGAAAGCAATAGCGATATCCATATGCAAAAAATACCCTGGAATAGGGTAATTGGTTTTGTTTCTAAATAGAAATAAGTACATAATTGAATTTAAAAATTGAAGTGAAAGATTTTTTTTCCTGAAAGTTTGGGCCAAAAAATGTGAGTGCACATTATACACAGCAAAATACAGTAATTGCATCCCTATCCCTGGTTTCTATTAGTAGGATTGATTAACTAACTGCATGGTCACCTTATAGGAACACCTTAGTGTCCTATTGGCCCTATCTCCAAGTACAGTCACATTGGGAGTTCAGGCTTCACCACATTGATGGGGCCGGGGCCGTAATTCAGTCCGTGACAGGGGATTTTACCCCTACGAGCCAAGAGACTAGAATTCTAGTCCCAGCTCTCTCTAATCAGCTCTGTGACTCTCAATAAGCCATGTCTGTCTGGGCCTGACCAATGACCTGGGAAGGGAATGACTGCTCCATTCTGTCTCACCCAGAAGCTGTGAGAGGCTGTTGAGCTAATGGCGGTAAAAGTGCTGTACCTGGTGAAAAAGCTGAAGTGCCAAGTCTAATTGATTCTATGGACCATCTCCTTGCAAAAGGTATACAAACTCCATACTTGAAATTAGCTTCCATTTGCTGGCACTCAGCTGCTCAATATTTAATCAGCATGTACCACCCACCCCCAAATTGGGAAAGCAGCTCACAAGAGAAAAAGTCTAGTGGTTATCGAACTCTGACCAAGGAGTGAGAAAGTTTCTCTTCTGTCTCTCATCCATCCCTCTCACACTTATACACAGGAACAAACATATACACAACTTTTGACCCTTGGAAGCCCTCCCATTTATTGATAAAGAATGTATTTGTTGTTTATAAAAAGTACTATATTTCTCTACATAATCTTTAAAATATTCAGGACATTTAACCCACTAATTACATTTCTGGGAAACTATCCTAAAAAAATAATCTGCAATGCACACAAAGATTTATTAACTAGAATGTTCATAATGGTATTATTTATAATAGTGAAAATACTGGAAACAACTTAAATATCTAATTGTGAAGGAACAGTTAATAAATTACAAAATATCCACATGATGGATTATTATGCAGTCATTTAAAATAACATTTTAAAGAAGTTTATGCTCTGATGTTAAGTGAAAAAATGCAGGGTCCAAAATTACATTTAGGTATGACCTCAGCTATGTAAATAAAAGACATTTTTAAAAAGACTAGAAGGAAATGTGCCAAAATGTTTGCAGTGATTACCTCTGGGTGATGAGGCTATGAATAAATAAAATGTTTTGGTTTAGTTCATTTGAGGTTTTTTGTTTGTTTGTTTTGCCTCTTTCATTTTCTATAATACTTAGGTATGATTTTAGTAATGGGGGTGGGTAGATAAACAGTAAACACTGGAAAGGAACTCAGAAGGAACAATGGTTTATGCTGGTGTCCTAGAAAGTTTTGCATTCTTGGCCTCTCTCCTCTGATGTTAGGGAAACTGAGGCAGAGTTACAGTAACCAGTTCCAAAGTTCAGGAGTCCAGGTGACCCAGGCCACTGTTCCCTTCTACAGTACACCATCATGGTTTGGAGGTGGCCATCCTGCCAGCGGTTAAATCCCTTTGCTGTCCTTAACCAGTTGCAGAACCAGCGGTCAAAAAAACTTTTCTGTGACTTCATTGCCTCCTCTATAAAGGATGCTGATAGTGGTAGTTCTTAGCTGAGCAAAGAGTGATTGATGATAGGGAATATATAAAATGAAGTCACTTTAATCAAGCTGCTAAAATTATTGACATGAAAGTTAAGGCATAAGGAAAGAGTCCCTTCTTTTTCCGACTAGCACCAGGAACTTAAGTTTTTTAAACTTTCCAGTCCTGAGTCAATGCCTTGACATACATCTGACTTTAGGTAACCCTCTAATTACACCCCCAAGGACTTACATACCCAGGACATCTGATTACCACCTGAATGACTCAACAGACACATTCCCTTGACATCCGTTATCTAGACACTCCTGACTGACCAGAGCTTCTCCTGGCTCCCGTCATCCTGTCTGCTTGACATATGACTCCTAAGAAAAACCTGGATAAAATGGACAAGTTTCTAGAAAAATATAACCTTCCAACACTGAATGAAGAAGGAGAAAGTCTGAACAGACTGGTAACAGCTGGTGAAATTGAAGCAGTAATCAAAACACTCCCGTCACACAAAAGCCCTGGACTGGATGGCTTCAAAGGAGAATTTTACAAAACATTTAAGGAAGACCTAACCCCTAGCCTTCTCAGACTATTCCAAAAAATCTAAGAAGAGGGAAGACTCCCAAACTCTTTTTATGAGGCCAGTATCATCCTAATCCCAAAACCAGATAAAGACACAACAAAGAATGAAAACTACAGGCTAATATCGCTGATGAACATAGACACTAAAATCATCAACAAAATATTGGCAAACCACATCTAGCAATACCATTAGCAAGTGGGATTCATCCCAGGCAGGCAAGGATAGTTCAATATTTGCAAATCAATAAACATAATACATCACATGAACAAAAGAAAGGACAAAAATCACACGATCGTATCAATAGATGCAGAAAAAACATTTGATAAGGTACAGCATCCATTTATGATAAAAACACTCAGCAAAGTGGGAGTATAGGGGGCATTCCTCAATGTAATAAAGGCCATATATGAAAAACCTTCAGCCAACATCATATTCAACCAGGCAAAAACTAAAAGCTTTCCCATTAAGATCGGGAACAACAAGACAAGGTTGTCTGCTTTCACCACTCCTATTCAATATAGTATTGGCAGTCCTAGCCACAGTAATCAGAAAAGAAAAAAAAATAAAAGGCATCCAAATTGGAAAGGAGGAAGTAAAACTGTCATTGTTTGCAGGTGACATGATAGTGTACATAGAAAACCCTATAGATGCCACCAAGAAACTACTCAACCTAGGAAGTGAATCTGGCAAAACAGGAGAATACAAAGCCAATAT